GTCAACGCCCCCGTGGCTCGGTCTGAGACCAGGCCTTGTGGTGGATCAGGGTCTGATCAGTCAGGCTGTTACTGCAAACTGACGTATGAACCACAGCCCAGCTGGTCAGGTATTGACTTTAGGTGCCTGTCCAGTGCCTTCTTGAAGACAACCAGGGGTCTATTGGTAATCTCCCTTATGTATGCTGGGAGGCAATTGATCAGTCTTGGGCCCCAGACACTAATTGTGTTGTGTCTGTGTACTCGTGGTGCCCCTGCTTTTCATTGTTGCACCTCCTGCCGAGTCTTTTATTTTCACAGGGAGTGATTTTTGTGTGCAAGTTTGGTACTAGTCCCTCTAGGATTTTCTAAGTGTATACAGTGGACCCTCGGTTTTTGTGTTTAATCCGTTCCAGAGCGATCGGCAAAAACGGAAATCGGTGAAAATGGAAACCATTTTCCCCATAAGAAATAATGTAAACCCAGTTAATCCATTCCAGACACCCAGAAGTATTAATAAAAAAAATTTTCTTTTTTAGCTTAAAGATAGATTTACATGTACAAAAGAAGGAATATTCAATATGACACTTACCTTTACTGAAGGCTGTTGTTGATGGATGGAAGACAGGGAGGAGGAGGAGAGAGGGAAGAGGTTGTTCTTTGGAAGGGAAATCCCCTTCCATAAGGACTCTAGGTACCAAGTCATTATCTGGGGCCACTTCCCTCCTTTGTGTTTTAATGGCACTAGGACAGCTTGAGAGTCCCTGGACCCCTGTTGCACAAAATATCTTTCCAGATGGGTCTGTTTCTGGCGTCTCTTTAAGATTCGTCTAAAATGGGACATGTCATTGTAAAAGTCGCCAGCATTGATTGCAGCAGCTTTTTCAGGGTGATGTTCCTCCATAAAAGAATGCACTCTAGTCCACATTGCACAAATCTCCTTAATCTTTGAAGAGGGCACCCTCTTCCATCTCTCTTCCTCCACCTCTGAAGCAATTTCCTGAGCTGTGGTCTGTTACTGTTGCAGATAAAGCTCTTGCAGCTCATCAGTGGTTAGCTTTTGATTGTGGTCCTCCACCAACTCTTCCACATCCTTGCCACTCGCATCCAATCCCATCAAATTCCCCAATGCCACAATTGATTGCACAACAGGTGTAGGGTCGACAGGGTCAGCCTCAAACCCTTCAAAATCCTTCTTTTGGACACAATCTGGCTACAATTTTCCCCAAGCAGAGTTCATCGTCCTGGAAGTCACTCCCTGCCAAGCCTTATCTATAAGATATTGAAGTGATTCTTCCAGAACTCTTAGGGTCAATTCAGAGTTCGAGGTTATGTCAAAGCACCTTTGAAACATTGCTTTGGTGTACAGTTTTTTGAAGTTTGCAATGATCTGCTGGTCCATGAGCTGGATGAGAGGAGTGGTGTTAGGAGGCAAGAACTTCACTGTTACAATTGGTCTTCCAAGTCTGGAGGATGAGCAGGAGCATTGTCCATTAACAGGAGGCACTGGAGTGGCAATTTATTATCCAGGAGTTATTTCTTCACACTTGGGCCAAACACTTCATTGACCCATTCCAGGAAAATTTACCTTGTGACCCTTGCCCTTCTGTTAGTCTTCTACATCACACACAATTTACTCTTGATAACACTGTTATTCTTGAACACTCTGGGATTTTCAGAGTGATACACCAGTAAAGGCTTCGCTTTGAAGTCCCCACTAGCATTACCACACAACAAGAGAGTTAGCCTGTCTTTCATAGGCTTGTGCCCTGGGAGTGCCTTTTCCTCCTGCGTGATGTAGGTCCTCTTTGGTATTTTCTTCAAAAACAGGCCTGTTTCGTCACTATTGAACACTTGTTGGGGTTGGAATTTTTCAGCCTCTACGAAGTCTTTGAATTCCCGCACAAATTTTTCAGCCACATACTTGTCTGAACTGGCACCCTTACCATGCCTGACAACTCTGTGTATGCCACTTCGTCTTTTTAAAGTTTTCGAACCAGCCTTTGCTGGCCTTAAATTCACCAACATCAGCACTCATTTCAGGCAGTTTCTTTGAGATCGTCATGCAACTGCCTTGCCTTTTCATGAATTATCGACTGCACAACACTATCTCCTGCTAACTCTTTCTCTCTGATCCACACCAACAACAATTTCTCCACTTCATTTGTTTGGGATCTCTGTTTGGTTATTGCATTCACACCTTTCACAACATCAACTTCAATGATTTCTCTTTGCCACAATGGAGCTGATCGTTGATGGTGCCTTCCCATACATCCTGCCGAGTTCAGCTATGCGTATGCCGCTATCATATTATTGAACGATTTCTTTTTTCATTTCTACGGTGTTCCTCACTTTCTTTACCAAAGGACTGGCACTAGAAGTTTTCTTTGGGGCCATGGTGGCTTATTTAGCAGTCACACACAACAAACAAGTGCCAAAAACAATGGATTATTATGAAATGTTTCGTATGACCTGGCAGGATATGTTCACTCACCGAGAAACAACGCGACACTGCCTGAGAATGCATGTGGGAGGTGGCGTTGTCTGGGCACAGGACAGGTTTCGTACCATCGACGAAAACGGAGGAAATCGACGAGAACGGAACCAAAATATTGACAAAAAAGTTGACGAAAACTGAAATTGGTGATAAAGGAGATCGTTGAAAAGGAAGGGTCCACTGTATTATCATGTATCTCTCTTGCCTGCATTCCAGGGGAATACAAATCAAGGGCCTTCAACTGTTCCCAGTAATTTTGGTGTCTTATCATGGTGTCTTATCAGCAATTTTTCCCTGCCTTGAGCATTTAGTGTACAGCAGTATTCCAGCCTAGAGAGAACAAGCAATTTGAAGAGAATCATCATGGGCTTGGCATCCCTAGTTTTGAAGGTTCTCATTATCCATCCTATCATTTTCCTAGCAGCTGCAGTAGATACATTGTTGTGGTTTTTGAAGGCGAGATCCTCTGACATTATCACTCCCAGGTCCTTCACGTTACTTTTTTGCTCTATTGTATGGTTAGAATTTGTCGTATACCCTGATACAGTTTTAATTTCCTCAAATTTTCCATATCCGAGTAGTTGAAATTTCTTTTCATTGAACTTCATATTGTTTTGAGTGGCTCATTTGAAGATTTGGTCGATGTCCGCTTGGAGTCTTGTGGTGTCTTCGATGGAGGTCACAGTCATGACAATCCAGGTGTCATCTGCAAAGGAAGACACAGAGCTATGGCTTACATCTCTTTCTGTGTCAGATATGAGGATGAGGCATAGAATGGGAACGAGTACTGTGCCTTGCTGAACAGAGCTTTTCACCGTAGCTGCATCAGACTTTACTCTGTTAACTATTACTCTTTGTGTTCTGTTTGTCAGGAAGTTATAGATCCATCTACCAACTTTTCCTGTTATTCTTTCATCATGCATTTTGTGCGCTATTACACCATGATCACACTTCTTGAACACTTTTGCAGTCTGTGTATACTACATCTGTGTTTTGTTTATCCTCTACAGCATCCAGGACATTGTGATAGTGATCCAGTAGCTGGGACAGGCAGGAGCAACCTGCTCTAAACCCGTGTTGACTTGGGTTGTGTAATTGATGGGTATCTAGGTGGTTGGCGATCTTGCTTCTTAGAGCCCTTTCAAAGATTTTTATGATATGGAATGTTAGTGCCATCAGTCTGTAGTTCTTTGCAATTGCTTTACTGCCACCTTTGTAGAGTGGGGCTATGTCTGTTGTTTTCACTAAGTGTGGGATGACCCCTATGTCCATGCTCTCTCTCCATAGAATGCTGAAGGCACACGACAGGGGCTTCTTGCAGTTCTTGATGAACATGGAGTTCCATGAGTCTGGGCCTGGGGCAGAGTGCATGGGCATGTCACGATCATTGATATTGTATACCTGGAGTATACCTGGAGAGGGTTTTGGGGGTCAGTGTCCCTGCAGCCCAGTCTGTGACCAGGCCTCATGGTGGATCAGGACCTGATCATCCAGGCTGTTACTGTTGGCCGCACATAAACCGACGTACGAACCACAGCCTGGCTGGTCAGGTACTGACTTTAGGTGCCTGTCCAAAAAATGTTGAAGACAGCCAGGGGTCTGTTGGTAATCCTCCTTATGTATTCTGGGAGGCAGTTGAACAGTCTTGGGGCCCCTGACACTTATTGTGTAGTCAATTATTGTGCTAGTGGCACCCCTGTTTTTCATTGGGGATTTGCTGCATCGTCTGCTGAGTCTTTTGCTTTCATAGGGAGTGATTTTCATGTGTAAATTTGGTACAGTAATAATCCCTCTAGGATTTTCCAAGTGTGTATAATCATGTGTCGCCTACCTTCAAACAAACTGTTGAGACTTGTTACAACAGTTCTTGCTATAAATGTTTTATGGCAGATTTAAATCACCGGGGAAGATGTTATAGATTGGGCTTAATAAGGTTGTATATGGCATTCGAATTTCATTAACCACTGTGAATTTGCATCTGGTGGTTTGCATACAACAGTGACTAAATTCAGACTTTAAATTTTCACTGTCATTATGGACTACACTACTGGTAGTTTTGCCATTTTTTTGTACATAGAGGTATGTACCTGCTGTAGCTGGAGGTAAACATCATTTGCAATGCTAATGTGAGATTAAGATGATTAGGGAAGCTATTCATCATACAGCATTGTGTAAACAAGGCGTCACCAGAACTAAAACGTAGGATAGCAAGTTTTTAAGTCAGTAAATTCAGCATTAGTAAATATAAAAAAATGAAACATAGTCCACTAAGTTGTCACCTGGACAACCCTGGTTACACTGTTTCAGAAGAGCTAGGATGGTGTGTTGATACTTGATTCACAAGTGCTAGGATGGTGTGTTGATGCTTGATTCACAAGTGCTAGGATGGTGTGTTGATGCTTGATTCACAAGTGCTAGGATAGTGTGTTGATGTTTGTTTCAGAAGAGTTAGGATGGTGTGTTGATGCTTGTTTCAGAAGAGTTAGGATGATGTGTTGATGTCTGTCTTTTTTTTTTTTTTCCAGAACTGATATCCGGGATCGAGAGCTGGAAGAGGAGGAGAGGGAAGAGGTGCTGGGATCCGATGATGAGGAGCAAGAGGACCCTTTCGACTATTGTAAAGGTCAGTGATTTTAGCAGCTAGTGTTAGGCCTCGCTACAAAGGATACTCCAGTGTTTGTGGTTGTTGTAGCTAATGGTAGCCCTCTTTTCAAGCATAAAGAGAATTACCAACAAACCTCTGGCTGTCTTCAAGAGGAAACTGGATAAGTTCAAGTCAGCTCCTGATCAGCCAGGCAGTGGTGTGGCTACCACCAACAACCAAAACCTTGCCCCCAGAATCGACGCAGGGTAAAGGCTAGTAATGTCAAGTTTAAAGTCTGTATAATACATGTGGGTCATTAAGGCTGAAACTCGCCTGTATACTAACATCAAGAATATTTTATTCCTTAAAATAGTGTTTAAAGTAAACTGTGTATATACGTACAACCAAACATAAATTCGTATGCTGCAACCCAGAGAAATATACAACGTGAGCAAATGTTTAGTAAATTCAACAATTAGGGACCTTACTGGGATAATAAACAAGGAATTATCCAACATTTCTTGGGGAAAAGGTCACGAGTGCTCTAAACCCAGACTAGTGAATGCATATGCTGAATACAGAAGTGTGGACTGTTGATGTTCCATCCGAGTTAAAAAAAAAAAAAAAAAAAAAAAAATATAGAAGAGAGTTGTCAAAAAAGTGTTGTCAATCTTCTAAAATTGACAGACAAATTAGCGGGCTTAAGCAGAGCAAATACTACATTAATGCCAGACATAAGGAACACTGAAGAAATTAAAAAATGTGCTCAAGAAATTGGGAAACCATAGAAAACACACAAAATTCCAGCAAGAAAGACAGTAGTGAGCATGAGCATTCATTGTTGTTTACAGGAGGCTGAGTTCAAGTGAAATACCAGAGACCTTAATTAAGAAGTGTGGATGTAGCCCCACCTCACAGAGGAGGCAGCCGAGCAATAACTAAAAATTACAAACGAGTAGCACTTAGCATCACTTACCGAAAATGTTTTAGGGAGGGCGCTAAGATGTCAGTTGATTGATTGATTTTGTGCAAATAGATCACATTGCCTAAATGAACGTTGCTTTAGAGCAGGAAGAGTGTGCCTCTCATAGCGACCACATTATTATGACAAAATGGATCTGTGACACATTGGAAAGATAATGTAATGCAGATGTGGTCTACATGGATTTTGCAAAGGCATGAAACATGACTCATCATAAGGTGATAGTAAACAGAGGAAAAGTAGTCCTAATAATGGAAAAAATTTGATACCATAAGGCATGATCCTGGCACCTTAACTGCTCCTCATCCTCATATTAGATATAGAAGAAAAACAAAGCAGGGTATTATGGATCATTCCAAAATGTGTAGGAAATTTGCCTTTGTAATTGCAGTGCACTGTGTAATATTTCCTAAAGAAAAACCATTGGTACAATATATAGACTTCAGACAACTTGAACTGCCTGGAGCAAGCACTAATGACTTCATTAATTGGACCCTCAATCATAAGGTATAGACTGAGACCACGAAGTAGAGGCAATGATTGCTGAAACCATTAAAGGGTAATATCAGAGAGAAAGAGTGAAGGGAGAGATTGTGTGTTGCCTCATCCAGGTGACCTTCAATAGTGAGACCATCTGTTGATGCAAAACTATCTTGGGCCTTTAGTATTTTATGGAGAAGGAGCCTAGACATAGGTGTCATGGTACTCACCCTGCTTGTTTCTCATTCTTATATCCGACTTTGACTAGGACATGAATCATAGCACTGTAACATTCTTTGCTGAGTTATCAGAACCTCTGAGAGTGGCATACATCAAAGATATTGTGAATCTTCTGGCAGATAAATCAAGTCTTCCAGGTGGCCTCAGACAACAGTTAGATGTTGAATGAGGACAACTTTTTATTCATTCACCATAGAAGAATGAAGGAAATAGACTGTAATGGAGTAAAGAACAAACTCAAATCATTCAGTAAAGCAAAAGTACCATGTGCCAGACTTAGGAATAATGATAGCAGAAGATCTTACATTCAAGGCTCACAACAATGTTGTTATTACTACCACAAGGAAGATTATAGGTTGGATAACTAGGACTTTCAAGACAAGAGATGCTTAGTCATTGATGCTCTTTAAGTCACTTATTCTCTCCAAGATGGAATACTGCCATATACTGACAGCCCCATTCAAGGCAATCAAGATTGCCAAGCTGGAAAATGTAGAGAGAGCTTTCATTGCTCGTATATACTCAATCAAGCATCTGAACTACTGGGAAGGCTTGAAGTCCCTATAACTGCATTCCTTGGAACGTACGCAAAAAAGGTACATAACTGTTTAACCCGGAAAATCCTGGAGGGACTGGCCCAAAACCTGAACACTGAAATCACTCTACATGACAGCAAGAGACTGCAGACAGTGCAAAATACCTTCCCTAACATGCAGGGACATGACAAGTACACTGAGAGAGAGAGAACTTAATGAGTCAGAGGTCCCTGACTCAACACCTTCCCTTCATGTATAATGTGAATTACCAACAAACCCCTGGCTGTTTTCAAGAGAGAACTGGACAAATTTCTTAAATCAGTGCCTGACCAACCAGGCTGTGGTTGGTACATTAGACTGTGTGTGGCCAAGAATAACAACTGGGTAATCAAGCCTTGATCCTCCAGGACGCCTGGTCTGTGACCAGGCCACGGGGACATTGACCCTTGGAAATGTCCTTCAGGTATCTTCAGGTGGTGGTGGTAGTTGTGGTGGTGATGTGGTGAGGAATGGGGAGGAGGATAAGGAGAGTAGTGAAGAAGCCTTGTGTGTGTTTTGGTATAGCTTCTCTTGATTATTTCTCACCCAGACAACCTGCTCTACCTGTTTCCACCACTCTTACTGGCACCTGCTACCCTGAACATGTGTTCACCTATGCCCATCTGCTTCCCTCTCCACATCACTGGAGAACACCCGCAGGGTTTTCCTTACTCTTAGTGTATTTAACTTGCATTTTGAAAGCTATTTGTAACTCTTGAAGCCTCAGAGGTTGACGTTTGTATAATTGTCCCAGTCTCCTCTTCCATAGATTGTTTGCATTGTTGCCATTAAATCATATTCCTTCTCCCTCGAGAAGTATTTATCCATGTGCCATACTGTTTGTCTCTCACGAGTATGTCAATCCTTGTACCATACTGTTTGTCATGTTGGAGTATGCCGTCACTGTGCTCCTGACTACTCGGGTGACTCAGGATCTGCTTGACTGCACTGTTTCCTCAAACTTTATCAATTCTGCCACACTATCTGCCAACCTCCATCCAGTCATACTGTTCAACCCCCACCTATCATGATACACCCTCCTACCCTGACCACACTATTAACTCCTAATGTTCCTGTCAATAATTGATTGAGGTCATAGAGGCATGCACTTGTATTCAGATATCAGCCACACAGTTCTGTCTGATCAACATGATCTACCTCATTACTCCAACATGGTGTATTACGAAAGTATGAAATCACTTTTAGGCAATTTTGTCTGCAGGAGTTTTGTTGCTAGCAAAACTAATGTCAATGTAAAAGGCTTTTTGAAGTTTTAGCACTCCCTTGCAGTATATGTAGATACTGTAGTGCATATGTTGAACCTATTTCCTTTATTGTAACACTCAGTTGAAGATTTCTATGGTAAAACCATTTAGTATTATACTGTACTGCCTTATTAAAAATGCTAGTTGCTTCATGCATGCATGTACACATGCACACCAGCATGTGTACATATAATTGAGTGAGTAATTACATATGTATGTACATACGTATGCATGTGCATGCATGCACAGAGTTGTGACTCTACTCCCCTACCACCATAAATAGGCAAGTACACCTCCCCCCCCCCTTCAGGTTAAACATACTTTCTAGCATCTCATCTGAAGCACGTTTCAAGTGAATAAACGCTGCAGCAGACACGAGACACAAATTTAAGGTAGCTTTTAAGAATATCAACGAGAAGGCATCCACAACCTTATATACAGCACACGTCAGGCCCTTAGAGTATTCAGCACCAGCTTGGAACCCACATCTGGAAAAGGTGCAAAGGTCTGCAATAAAACTAGTCCCAGAGCTGAGATGTAAGAACTACAAGGAGAATCTAGAGGAATTAAACTTGACTACACAAGGGAACAAAAGAACCAGATGTAATGGAGTTATAACGTACAAAATACTGAGTTATTGACATGGGCAGATAAGAGCCTGTGCAAGAGACGGGTCTCGGGTACACGAGGTCACAGCTGTAGTTGAAAGCACAGATGAGCCTTGGGGATGTTAGGAAAATACTTCTTTAATCTTAGAGTGGTAAGAAAGTGGAATGGCATAGACAGTGAAGTGGTAGAGGCAGAATCCATATACAGCCTCTCAACACTTAGTGACATACTCGTTTACCGACGGCTTGGACTTACAACGGGCTCTCTGACCAGTATGCATACATAAATAATGCATATTAGAGCTGATTTCATTAATTCTATTTATTACAATATACAGTACACTACTGTATAAATATTTAAAAATATACCAGAAATGTTATAAATGGTGCAAAAGTGACATTACAACAATATCAAAGACGGTTGACACAAACCCATCACCATTATAGTATGCTCCTCACTTAGTGACAAATTCGTTTACTGACATGGTCTTAGGAATGAAACTCTGTTGTTAAGTGAGGAGAGCCAGTAGTTATAAGAATAGGTATGATAAGGCTCACAGAGCCAGGAGTGTGAAACCAGTAGTGGGGGCATGGGGCCAGGAACCTAGACTCAACCCCAGCATCCCTATATGTACATACATACCAGATGTGGGTATACTCGACATACATATACATGTATTAGAAATAACTATAATAGACACAGGTATAGTTAGTGAGAGAGTAGGGTGGACACCATTGTAAGGGAAGTGAGGGAATAGGGTAGACAGCAGCCTAGAAGGGCTTCAGCCAGGCCAGATAAACTGACTTAAGATAAACCTGGAAAAGTGTAGGGCAGAGAAGCGTGTGCGTGTGTACATGCGTGTGTGTGTACATGTGTGTACGTGTGTGTGCATGTGTGTGTGCATGTGTGTGTACATGTGTGTGCATGTGTGTATGTGTGTGCATGTGTGCATATATGTGTGTACATATGCGTGTACATTGTGTGTGTGTGTGTGTGTGTGTGTGTGTGTGTGTGTGTGTGTGTGTGTCAGGTGACTGCCCTGCAGCCACCACCCTCCCTGTAGTCACAACCACCATTCACTCCTCACCTGTCCACTGTACTGCAAGGTGTCCCACGCCTGCATATCCTCGGGGGTGAGGGTCTGCATGGCACTGTTACAACCACCCTAGGATGTCAAATCAAAGCTTTAGCAGTGGTTACAGTGGGTGAGACATGAGTGTAATACATTAAAATGTGTGTTGTCTGGAACCATGTCTAGACCTATTGATAGTGGTGGGTGTTATAAATACCCTAACATGAAGGTGAGGGGTAACCGTGTGAGGAATGAGAGGGCACTGGTTACTCACAATAATCGACCTTCTCGCCGCACCAAATGGACACCACCTGTTTTCTCAGCTGAAAACACCAGTAACGTTCTGGTAAATACTAGTGCCACTTCTGTTGATGCTACCCCTAGCCCACAATTTGACACTGGTGTTCATAATCAACTACGTAGAAAGAGTGCTGATAATTGTGGAACCTGTATTCATAATCAACCACGTAGAAAGAGTGCTGGTAATTGTGGAGAGAGTAATGTGAATGTGGTGTTCCAAGTGACCACAAGGCAGAAGACAATAGGCAGAAGTTCCACAGAAGAACAGATGACTCCTGACAGACCATTGCAAGATGATACACAAAAACCATGCAGGAAGTTGAGCAGCCCGAATGTAAAACCAGCACTTGCATTACCTCGCAGACCTCTATTGAAGCACCTGCACCCAAGTCACACCCTCACCAGTGATGATTCCTCCATCAAGGCTCTCCAAGCTACTGAAACCTACATAACTTTTAATGCAACCTCATCTGAAGACAAGGAACCTCACAGCTCGCTGGCAAAAGTGCAGCAGCAGAGAAAAGGAGTTTTAAAAAAACAGGGAAGTTACACGTATCAAAGCAAAAGTAGGGGTGCATCACCAGACTCAAAAAAATTTCCGAGCGGTAAATATTTTGAGAAGCAGGATTCAAGTGAGCAGAGTCGCAGCCCAACCCCTGATTATGTTGTGCCCACCATTTGTCTGCAGTTGCACTCTGTGGACAAGCCACGACTTAAGAAGCAAAGTTCCAGTGACAATGCCAACTTTGAGAAATTTGACATTTTATGGAAGCTACGCACAGATGAAGTGAGGAAACAATCTCCATTAGTTGGTGACCAAAAGCTGGAGCAGGCACAAGGTGGCCCAAGTGAGAGAAGATGGAGAAGTTGCAATATCAGGTCTGCATCACTCATAAAGCAGAATAGTTTGGACAGTATTTTATCTCCAGAGCAGTCACAGAGATCACTTACCTCTGTACTGAACTTGCACCGAGGTGGCAGCAGCAGTAGTAGCCAGGCCAGGCTCATACAACAGAAGGGATATGTGATGAAAGAGGATAACATGCTGCACCCATCTTCGACCACCTTGTTCAGCTCCTCGCCTTCACTCAAGATAACACAGAGCTCACCAGTTGATAATCTTGGTGAAACATTTGGTCATACCAGATCATTATCACGAGACAAAGTATTAAGCAGATCTAGTTCTGTGGACCAGGGGATGGAGTGGGAGATAGAATTGCTCGAAGTTTTGGATGCCAATGCAGAATCAGCAAGCAACTCCCCTCTTACCTCCCCTGATGGACGGCGACCCAGTCTCCTCCGGCGCCTCAAGTCTGTTTCTCGAAGAAGAGCTAAATACATCAACAAGGAATGTGACAGAGGTAGATTTAAAAAAAATTTTTTTCATTCCATGTAAATGTTAATGTAAATGTGAGTATTCCAACACCTACCAATCATAATCACATTTTTTATAGAAATTAAGTTGCATTCACAGGTGAACAAATAAAGGGTGTAGGTTTTCAAATAAGCAATATCTGAAGTGCCATTAAAACACATAGGTAACAAGTTCTTTCTTAGTGTACACATCTCTGCTATTTATTGGAGATATTTTTTTACACTGTCAAATCGCTTGTCATCATATGGAATTATTTCAGTGTTCAGGTTTGAAACCAGTCCCATCAGGATTTTCCAGGTGTAAATTATTATGTACCTTTCTTTCCTACAGTAACCAGATGTTTATAAATACATTATCACCTCTTAAGTCTGTGTGGATGGGGCTTAAATAGCTGTTATCTTGATCAGCAACAAACACACTGTTTTTGTATCCTCTTCATGATCAGTTAAAATTATGAGAAAAATAATAATTTTGTTCATTGAGCACACAGTAAAAATCAATGCTAATATAAACAAAGTCCTTCATTGGGCAACAGAAAATAATATGATAATCTTTGCATTTTAGGTGCTTGACTGAATTTATATGGGCACTGAAGTTTTCTGTACATTTTTTAGCCATACAGATGTGTCTTCCTTTAAAAATGCTGCTAGTGTGCACCAATATTCAGTCTGTAGAGAACAAGTGACTTGCAGTAAAACCATAGATTGGGCATCTCTTATTTTTAAAAAATCTAGTTGTCATGCCTGTCATTTTTTATTCCATTTGTGATAATAACAGTGTGATGCCTGACTGTGAGATCTTTTGAGGCAGTACTGGAGTGAGAGATATGGGAGGAATTGCAAGGTAAATCCAGGGGTGCTGTGGGCACAGCAAGAGAACATTGTATCAGTGCTGCCTATTCAACATTATCATCTTTATGCCAGTAAGAGGCTTTAGATCCAAGGAATTAAACCTGTCCTCCCATTTGGATCAAACCTGATTGTCTTCCATTCTCCCAGGTGCTGTTTGACCTCTGTGGGTTAAGCACTTCCTCAGTTAATGTAATAATCAAAACTACCATTAAATATCAAATACTACTGCAGGGATAATAAAGGTAGAAGTCTTCAAAAGAAAACTACCAGTGTCTCTGCCAGCTGATTGATCAGCCAGTCAATCACCAACAGCAACCTGGTTGACAAGGCAAGCACCAGATAAACCTGGCCAATGATCAGGCTGCAGGAGTTGAAAAACTCCCTAAACCAGTCACAAGTTTTTTTTTTTTCTTTCTTTTTTATAACACATTGGCCATCTCTCACAGAGGTGTGGTAACCCCAGAAAAGAAGAAACAAAAGACTCTCAAATATCTTCTTTCAACAAACTGGCCATATCCCACAATTTGTCCAATGTGAATCTATTGCTTTAAGTCTTGTCTCTATTAGATACTTTTTAGCACAATACTTCTTCATTTATTTGTTTTCCATTTGTACACCTCAAACATATCTCATAGTGCAAATTCAGTGCCATCAGCTAGTCATTATAAGAAAAGTTTCTGATACATGGGATCAACTTCGTCATCCTACTCTGTAAATTTTCCAGAGCATTTATGTCCATTTTGTAATATGGAGATCAGAACTGAGCAGCACAACCTAAATGAGGCCTTACAAAAGATATATAAAATTTAAATACAGTATAACTAAATCCCAAAGGTGTTATAATTCAACTTTACATAGCTTTAGTAAGGCATTGTTTGCTTGCTGTGATTTATTTTTGTGGTTCTGTGATTTTTTTTTTTTTTTTTTGTGGTGCCTTTTTTTTTTTTTTAACCTTCATACACCACCCATAAATTGAAAATTAAGCATAGGATTTTATTCAGGTTGTGCTTGCTGAATTTCCCATGCTCAAATTTCATTAATATTTTGTTCAGTCCATACCTTTGTATTTAAATTTAACAAAATGTGTTTCAGTAAATTCTACTAATCAAAGTTCTTCCTCTTTACAGGTGGCTATCATCCTGTGAAGATAGGTGACCTTTTCTACAATAGATACCATGTGATTCGTAAGCTGGGGTGGGGTCACTTTTCCACTGTTTGGCTCTGTTGGGATCTCCAGTAAGTACTTATCAACTATTCACCATTTTTTTTTAACCTATATATAGTGTAGGTTATGAGTGGTGATTGCCCAGTTAACTGTTAAAAAGGGAAACAAGGCTTCTAATAATAAAAAGTCACGTTAGGCACAGTATACCCTTAAGTTTTTAGACTAATATTAGAGTGAGTGGCTAGTAATGGTGATTGTAGTGGATTGAGTTGAGATTGGTTTGTTACAATGCACTTTGTTTCTGAATCAATTGACCTGGTAGATTTTGCTCCATGTTTCTGAAGTCTGTTAAATCAAGAATTCAAGATCCCTTAAATCAAGGGTTACTGCATATGTAGTTTTTAATGCTACTTTAATAAAATATGACACATTATATACAGTACTGTTTTAAACACAGTCCTGTATACTCTCAATACAATGATCCCTACAAATTTATGGGCTTCCTACTTGGTTTCATATATCCAGTACTTTTACTGATATGCAACTCCTGAATAGTTTTGATTATCCACTGTTTTTTTTTTTTTTTTCATTATCTTCAGGCTTAGTGTATGATTCTTAAATTAAAAACTATCTTTAAGATTTCATTCAAGTTCGTTCATAGAATGACATTTTACAGAGCTATGGTCTCATAGATCTGAAACAAAGTTTGTTATGCTTACTGTACATAACTGACTCCCCTTTTTTCCATTCTTGTTACTGATTTCTTTTTCTCATTGCCACGTCTCCCTTGTCCCAGCTCTTTCACCTTTTTCGTCTTATAGATTTAGTGGTCTCCATGAAAATAGGGTAATAGTGTTTACCTAAAGCATACATACATGATGTGCAACTGGTTTCAAGATGTCTTCAACACTCACATCACAGTTTGATATATATAAATTACCCACACATGCAAAAAATAAACTTGTACTTAACATCAATGCATTTGTTAAAAACAGAAGTGACAGGCATTATTGAGCAAGCAATTTTACCTTCTCAGTAGTTGGCAAATTGCATTCTGGTAATGGTACATTAAAATACAGTACATAATTTTAAATGTTAATCTAGTGAAAGGTATTTTCACAAATTTGCTTAAGAGTAATTGTGTCATTGGATATTATTATCGATGTTACAAGCAATTTTGTTCTTCAATGAGACTCAGCAGTTTTATTAAAAATGGCACATTTTATTGTTTTTACAATTTTTTTTATTTTAGGGGACTTGTAAATGGATCATTTCCTGAGAACTGTAGGTTTATTATATTTTCTGAATATATTCTCTTGAAATAAGACCTGATGTCCAGTGAAAAATTTTGTATTAGTATTTATTTTTTTCAGTGTTAGCATATTTTTACATTTTTCATTTTTGTCTCAAAGTTTATTAATTTATTTATAGATTTGACAAATAAGGCTAAAGAGGTCTTTGTGGCATTTATGGATTTGGAAAAGGCGTATGACAGGGTGGATAGGGGGGCAATGTGGCAGATGTTGCAAGTGTATGGTGTAGGAGGTAGGTTACTGAAAGCAGTGAAGAGTTTTTACGAGGATAGTGAGGCTCAAGTTAGAGTATGTAGGAAAGAGGGAAATTTTTTCCCAGTAAAAGTAGGCCTTAGACAAGGATGTGTGATGTCACCGTGGTTGTTTAATATATTTATAGATGGGGTTGTAAGAGAAGTAAATGCGAGGGTCTTGGCAAGAGGTGTGGAGTTAAAAGATAAAGAATCACACACAAAGTGGGAGTTGTCACAGCTGCTCTTTGCTGATGACACTGTGCTCTTGGGAGATTCTGAAGAGAAGTTGCAGAGATTGGTGGATGAATTTGGTAGGGTGTGCAAAAGAAGAAAATTAAAGGTGAATACAGGAAAGAGTAAGGTTATGAGGATAACAAAAAGATTAGGTGATGAAAGATTGGATATCAGATTGGAGGGAGAGAGTATGGAGGAGGTGAACGTATTCAGATATTTGGGAGTGGACGTGTCAGCAGTTGGGTCTATGAAAGATGAGGTGAATCATAGAATTGATGAGGGAAAAAGAGTGAGTGGTGCACTTAGGAGTCTGTGGAGACAAAGAACTTTGTCCTTGGAGGCAAAGAGGGGAATGTATGAGAGTATAGTTTTACCAATGCTCTTATATGGGTGTGAAGCGTGGGTGATGAATGTTGCAGCGAGGAGAAGGCTGGAGGCAGTGGAGATGTCATGTCTGAGGGCAATGTGTGGTGTGAATATAATGCAGAGAATTCGTAGTTTGGAAGTTAGGAGGAGGTGCGGGATTACCAAAACTGTTGTCCAGAGGGCTGAGGAAGGGTTGTTGAGGTGGTTCGGACATGTAGAGAGAATGGAGCGAAACAGAATGACTTCAAGAGTGTATCAGTCTGTACTGGAAGGAAGGCGGGGTAGGGGTCGGCCTAGGAAAGGTTGGAGGGAGGGGGTAAAGGAGGTTTTGTGTGCGAGGGGCTTGGACTTCCAGCAGGCATGCGTGAGCGTGTTTGATAGGAGTGAATGGAGGCAAATGGTTTTTAATACTTGACGTGCTGTTGGAGTGTGAGCAAAGTAACATTTATGAAGGGATTCAGGGAAACCGGCAGGCCGGACTTGAGTCCTGGAGATGGGAAGTACAGTGCCTGCACTCTGAAGGAGGGGTGTTAGTGTTGCAGTTTAAAAACTGTAGTGTAAAGCACCCTTCTGGCAAGACAGTGATGGAGTGAATGATGGTGAAAGTTTCTTTTTCGGGCCACCCTGCCTTGGTGGGAATCGGCCAGTGTGATAATAAAAAAAAATAAAAAAAAATTTGACAAAATATTTCTGGTTACCCATGTAAAATGATCCAAGTGTGTGTGTTTATTTTTCACACTGATGAACCTGGAAACCTGTATTGTTTATCGTACTGTATCAAATTTTTTTTTACATGTTTTCAGAGCCAAGCGGTTTGTAGCACTCAAGGTAGTGAAGAGCGCTTCCCACTACACAGAGACTGCCCTAGATGAAATTAAATTACTCAAATGTGTAAGTTGCTTCATATGTTAACAAATTTTTTTGAATTCTTTGTTAGTAATATCAGAGTAATCTGCCAAATCTTTGTGACATGGTATTCATTGTAGTACTAATTTCTTAACTTTTTTTACCTAATATGAAATGTTCATTATGCAAGTTATAGTGTGTAAATTTAAGAGATTGTGTAGTGTAAATGCTTTATATCATTGCCATTATTGTTTAACATAATATTGATCTGCACCAGATTTTTTTTTTATCATGGTTCGTACACGAGACGAGTGCAGATGTTCGTCAGTTTTATTAACTTGATTCTGAAAGGCATTAAAGTAACAGTTTTATAGTTTATCAAGTTTTTATTTTCTTAAAGGTTTTAGAGGAATTAATGGCAATGTTTGGCAGCATTGTCATTGAATGCAACCTTGTGTAGGGGATAATCCTAATTTAAAGTCTGTAATTACCAGTGTTTTTTTTTTATCTGATGTTCTTAAGTATAATTACATACAAATCTTTATGGGGGGCATTTGTACTCGACCCACTCCCAATACAAAACCTGCCATTTCTTCTTTCTTTCAACACACTGGCCGTATCCCACCGAGGCAGGGTGGCCCAAGAGGAAAATTGAAAGTTTCTTTTTACATTTAGTAATATATACAGGAGAAGGGGTTACTAGTCCCTTGAAACCTGCCATTTATCAACCTAAAATTCCATCATTCTTTTTATATTGCACTTGCTCAGGTATATGAAGCTGCTTGCTGGCCTTCAAAAGGCCAGAAAGCAGCTGGGTAGTGCATTTTAGCTTAGAGATAATATATAATTAAAGAATGACAAGTTTGTCAACAGTTGGATTTTTTCAGTCCCAAAATGGCATGAATTGAATTGGCCATGGTGTTTGAAGGCCTAGTAAAGAACATGTTTGAATTACTATGGCCTAATTATTACTGTGAAATATTTATTTCTTTTTATTTTACTTGCAGGTTCGAGAATCTGACGAGAATGACCCTAAAAGAGATAAAACAGTTCAATTATTAGATGACTTCAAGATCAGCGGTGTGAATGGAACACATGTATGTATGGTGTTTGAGGTGCTGGGCCACAACCTTCTTAAGTTTATCATCCGTTCCAACTACCAAGGGATTCCCCTTGCCAACGTTAAGAATATTATTCAGCAGGTAACTGTGGCCTAATGTTATTAAAAGCTGTAGCTTTCAAAGGTTATCTTTCTTCTTCTTTTTTTTTTTCACTTAGAGACATGAATACTGTATAATTATATTGTGCTATCTTGCAATTGTTATTACAGTGGCCATTTCCTACCAAGGCAGATAACCAAAGGAAAACATTTGTGCATGAATGGTATACAGTGCCAACAAGATGAAGAATTAGACAAGCGCAACATCTGGGTAACTTTATTTGCAGATATTTTGCCATCCACGGGCTTTTACCATCATTTATCAATGCCCTTTCACAGGGCACAGATATTATGGTTCAGTGATGACTCCTTGAAACTCAGCATCCCACTTTCCAAATGAAGGCATTGTATTTCATAGCATCTTGAGCTAAAGTTTGGCTAGCTAGTTTTCTTGAATTCAGTCATAGATATTATTGTACAATGTTCACACTTCAATAGCATGTCAAATCTCAGCTCCATTCACTTGTACATAATACTTGTGTATGTACTTGTTGGATATTCAGTACATCTTTCACATTCTTCTTTTAAACTTTTCGTGGGTGCCCCTTAAAACCCTCATTTCATTTGCTCCAGACATACTGGCCTCTTCAACAACCAGTTTTTATCCATTTTTCTTGGGTAACCTTCACACGTTAATACTATCTCGACAACTCTTCTTATGCTTATTTGCCTTCCATGCCACAACTAACCAATGATCATTGATATTTCAGCACACATTAATCTCAAATGAGACATCTACACTACTTCAGCCTTCTTGCAGCAACCTTCAAAGACCAAACACATGCAACATTGTTGGTATTACTGTACTCTTGACACTTCCTAGTTTTTATGTACTCGCAGCTTCTTTCAGAGCAGGAGAGATATACTATACTGCCTACATAGAATTAAAACATCTCTACTGGAAGTGCCTCCAAACACTGTATGTAGTCTGGAATGGGGATGTGCAAAACTTGATATGTACACAATAACTTCTTGAGGTCCCTAATCTACACACTACCCTAACAATTTGCTGGAGTGAGACATACAGAAAGAAGTTTAGAATAAACCCACCATAAAGCAGGTATGCCATAAGCACAGTTAAAGAATTCTTTAACATCTGTAGCCCATGACTCTTTAGCCTTCTACTAGCAGATATGAGAAATAATGCTAATACATAGGTGAAAGTTTTTAAAGGAAGTACCAGTTCAGACAGGATGTGATGGCTACATAGGCCTGTGGGCTGCAACAGCTTGGGTGATCATGTATTCAACAGGGAAGTCATGGCTTCAAGCTGGACTGCGAGAGGAGAACAACTCTAGAAATCAGTTGCAGGACGATGGATGTGGAAGATAATGCCACCTAGCAGGGTGGTGGGGTGAGCTGGTGATGTAGAGATAGGATAGCTGGGCCACTTTTCATGTTTATTAAATAGTTACATGTTAAGTGAGGACCTGTTTTATTTTGGAATTGTTTTACTGTGTAGCCTCTCCTCGTTTAGTGATGTACTTGTTTACTGACGACTCGGACTTATGACAGGCTCTGACCCGTATGCATACCTAAATAATGTATATTAAAGCTGATTTCCTCTCTCCTGTTTATTACAGTATACAGTACACAGTATAAACATTTAAAAATATACCAGAAATGTTATAAATGGTGCAAAGGTGACGTTAAAACAATATCAGAGATGGTTGACACAAACCCACTACCATTATAGTATGCTCCTCACTTAGCAATGAATTCATTTACTGACGTGGTCTTAGGAATGGAGCTTAGTCATTAAGTGAGCAGAGGCTGTATTTAATTACATAAATGTAAATATGTAACTATTTCTGTACAGGACGTAAAGTAATTTCTTATACTTTTTTCTATTTTCTACTGAAATGTTATAATTTTTAATGTGTGTTTTTAGGTGCTGGAAGCATTGGACTACCTACATACAAAATGTCAGATCATCCATACAGACATTAAACCTGAGAACATACTCATGTGTGTGGATGAGACATACATACGGAAACTTGCCTATGAAGCAACGCAGTGGCAGAAGATGGGACTTAAACTGCCTGGTTCTTTAGGTGTGTATTATACTATATGTAAAGAATGAAGAAAGTTTATCCCGTTAATTTGTCTAGAAACAGAAGTACTTTATTTTTTAGTGTATTTTATTTTATGTAATTTCTGATTGCTAATTTTATTTTGACTTTTAATTAATAAATTTGTTGACAATTTTTTTTATTTAACAGTGAGCACAGCACCAAAGCATTACTCCCAGCCAGATCCTAATGCCAAGATGTCAAAAAATAAGAAGAAAAAGTTGAAGAAAAAGCAGAAGGCAAAACAGGCACTTCTTGAAACGCAAATGAAGGAGTTGGAGGAAATGGAGGAGAAGGAGGCACGACAAGCCCTAGAGGCGTGTGACATAGCAACAGTTAACACAGCAGGTGCGTCACTTAAAGGGGCCCCTTCTGATTGTTGTTGAAGTGTGACGTTATAGCTGCAGTGATGAGTAAGCTTTGGTGGGCCTAGTAATACATTTTGGAAAAAACATCGAAGCATAAAGGAGTTCCTTGCAGTATTACAAAATAATGAAATGGTAGCAATGTATTAAAGAAGGTTGATGGGGGAGTGTGGTTAACATTTATAGAGTATTAGAGATGCCTTTCTTCAGTAGCTAAACTAATTTAGGAGTCAGTTGTGGATATTCTTATTCTTATATCCCACCTCATTGCAGTGGTATGCAGCACTTGTGCGCATGTTTGTCTGTCGGTCAGTTAATTACTGTTTGCATGATAAAATCTTCATATTTTTTTATTGAACTTTAGTTCCTAGATATGCACAAAGTTTGCAGATAGGGAGAACCAATGGTGTCTACTGTCTGAGTCTTGCAAACTACTACTTGATCTTCTACTTTAATTTTAAAGCTAGACAACCTGAATACTATATACAGCAGTTGCATTAGTAAAAGAAATTGGATAATATAATATGTTTTCCAGAAAAGTAGCTGGAAGAATGGAGTTTACAATGTTAAGACAAAATCTTAGGCTTTATAGTTGGCATTAGTTTACCCTAAGTTTGGTGAATGTATAGTGATAGGATTGCAGTTTAATCGTATTGTCACACATTTGTCGAGGCTGAAGCTTGTATGGGGTAACTTGGGTTCAGTCATAAACTTGGAACTAAACTCTTTAAGGGACCTTCCTTCCCCTCAAAAAAAAAAAGAAAAAAAAGGTGGGTGGAGTGGGGAAGGTATGGATGGTGTTTGCATCCTGTGTAGATAATCACCATAATTGCAGCATAATATGCAGTGTACTGTCTGGTTGAAGGTTCAGCATAAAATGCACTCGCTACTGGATATAATTTGCAATTCTGTTTTACGAGTCTATAATTTTGACACGTCAGAGTGAGGAATGCATGAGAATTGTGTTCACTGTGGAATTGGCCCTTCATACAAGAAATATTTATAATTATAATGAAATACTATAGCTGCTTGGCTGCCTCTATGCATTGGCTGCAGGCAGCCTCCAACATAACTTTCTGGTTTTAACATGCTTTGTCATGGGGTTTATCAGTAACCTGCTTACATGGCAATGGCAGAATTACTGTGCATTCTAGGTTAAGAAAACCTACATGAAATTTTCTCTCAGCTTTTTTTTTTTTATAAAGGGCTGTTGTGTAATTTAGGCATCTTTACAGATTGAGGAATTCATGGGAATTGTGTGTTCATTCTAAAATAGCTCCTTGAAGAAGGAATACCATTCAAGCACACCTCACATAACATACAAGTTATTATTCTGAAATCTGTGTTCATTGTAATTTTTTTCTGAGATACATATAATGTACGGAAAAAAATAAGGTTAAAGTCAAGGCACTTGAAAAAATGCAAATTTTTATCCAGTGTTTATTTTGTCAAAAATAATTTAAGGTTTTGACAAAACACACTTGAGACATTGTGGCTTGTTGATCTAGAAATGTATGTTATATACCCAAATCTTACAGAAAATGGGCCAGAGAAAACAGAGATGGCTAATACACTGCCAGTGACTTGCAAATTAATGCACAATCTTATTGGTATAAAATATGCTTGAAAGTAACAGGAAAGAGCTTTACCCTGCCTTAAGTTCTTGTTTCTCTTGCTTGTTGATGTAGAAGTGCTTGGAGATGGTTATACATAGCTCATTTATGCAGCAATCTGCTGTCTTGTTAGCTGGCGCCACTCTTTTTATCATATAATGCCATCACAATTCTCTCATTTATAATAGAAAGTAATATCAGTAATGTATTAGCAATATTCGTAGTATCATATAGCAGTATTAGAGCATAATATTACTGAGAGATGTAAGAGGGTAACATCAAGGAAAATCAGATAATAATATCAAAGAATTTTATCCTACCTCAAATTCTCTTTCTTGCTTGTTGATAAAGATGTATTTGGAGATGTTTGTGACTGCTGAGCAATAGACAGTATTGAGTCATCCATTTGTTAAACCAGCTGACAGTTGTGGGTTCGTCGTCTCTTGAGGTTTAGAGGGCCATTACAGTATACTCCATATTGAGCAAAAGTCAGCCACTAGCTTCCCTGAGGCCATATAAATATCTGAACAGAAAAATTTTGATGCCTAAGCCACTTTAAAACTTTTACTGCAGGTAAATCCAGGTAAAAATGTGTTTTAATGAAAAAAAAAGGCACAGTACTGTGACGAACAATACACAAATGACCCGCATATAGGAGAGAGAAAAGCTTATGATGACATTTTGGTCTGAATTGGACCACTCACAAGTCACACTGACAGAAGGGAATGAGTGATTCAGTATATATAGGTGAGGGGGACAAAGACAGGAGAAAGAGAGGAAGAAAAAGTAGTGCTGGTAGAGGAAGTGGTAGAAGCAGTACAAAGTAGGGGAAGTTGTTTTTGTCACAAGAGATAGAAAGGGGAGAAGGAGAGCAATAATAGCAGTAGGGGCAATAGTAGAAGAAAAGGTAGAAAGTAGAAGCAGTAATAGTAGTAAAGGAGTGGTAGTAGTCATAAGCTTTTTCTCTCCTGCATGTGGGTTATTTGTGTACGTTCTAATGTTTTTTAATATAAATATGAATAACTTTCTATTAAAAATGAACCACATATGCACACGCTGCATAGTCTATGTGTATTTTCTTTTATAAAAGATAATAGAGAAAAATTCAGTATTTGCCCAGCATCTAATATGGACAATGTAAGAGATAATACCATACTAGATATGTTTCAAAACATTTTCATGGCTTACGTCACCCTTCCTTAGTAAGAGAGAGTTGGTGTGGTGAAAAAAACGAGACTATTAATAGTTAATACATATATGATAATATGTGTAGCAGTACTGGAGGTGAAATATATTCCAAAAATCAGTCTTTTATGACAAAAATATCAGTCCTTTTAATTTTTGATAAATATTGCAACTCCTTAGCTGCCCCTATAGTTTTTCTTTCAACAAACTGGCTGCATTCCACCAAGGCAGGGTGGCCCAAAAGGAAAAACGAAAATGTCTCCTTTTAAATTTAATATATACAGGAGAAGGGGTTACTAGTCCCTTGCTTCCGGGATTTTAGTCGCCTCTTACAACACGCATGGCTTATGGAGGAAGAATTCTGTTCCACTTCCCCATGGAGATAAGAGAAAATAAACAAGAACAAGAACTAGAAAGAAAATAGCAGAAAACCCAGAAGGGTGTGTGTATATATATATGTGCTTGTACATGTATGTGTAGTGTGGCCTAAGTGTAAGTAGATGTAGCAAGACATACCTGAAATCTTGCATGTTTATGAGACAGAAAAAAGACACCATCAATCCTATGATCATGTGAAACAATTACAGGCTTCCATTTCACACTCACTTGGCGGGATGGTAGTACCTCCCTGGGTGGTTGCTGTCTACTGGCCTACAACTTAGGAAAGCTATTAGTTGGTAATGGAACTGTGTATGTTGCACCACAGGTGTCACGGCTGACAACAGAGCCACTTCTAGATATAGGAACAGAACTTGGTTTATAGTGTGTCGTCTTCAGTATTTAGTACAGTATGTTGTAAAATTTTAATAGTTTCCAGTGGTTGTAGTATTGTATGTGTTTCCTCCACGTTTGGCCTGATGCTTGTTGATTTTTATGACAGCCTTTTGTCAGATGACATTGATTCATTTCTTTGATGCCATTAGTGTTTTATCATAGTGTATTCTGTGTGTGGCCTGTTTTCACTTTTACCAATTTCTTTAAATGGCATATATCCATTAACTCAACTTGCATAATTTATCCAGGTTTCCTGCTTATCTTGCACAGGATTTTTGCATAATCACTAAACATTTATATACTTCATAATTCCTTCTGGCAAGCCATTTAGATTAAAAACATCATTGAAGTCAGTCTATAGACAGCTTTTATCATACCTTTGCCATCTCTGAAGAGTTTCGAAAGTTTTCATACTTCTGCAGCCCAGCCTTTGATCACACTTGTCTGGCTCAGGGCCAGACTACACACTTTCTCTAGCATTTTTTTTTCTTGTCAGTCACCAGCATGTATAATAGTGTTAGAATTACACACACATACAAATTTTGCAGTTCAGTGTAAATATAAAGTACATTAAAAACCTGACCATTGTGAATATCCATTCTAAACACTTGAGCTGCCAGGTGCCACTGCTGTTCTCACCTTGCCATGTGCAGTTTTATTTTTTAGAATCTATGTGCTTTTGCCCTCCACCTCTGGAATATTAAAAGAAAGAAAATTGGTTTTGGCTTTGTTCTATGGAAATAAAAAGTTACTCTTTGATTTTTATAGATTTGCCTGCCTGAGGTAATTTACATAAAATTGCTGCAGTGGTTAGAGTGCCACATAAAAGTTCTGCTTTAATAATTGCCGAGATAAAGAACCTTGACTGCATGTCAGTTTACTCAATAATGTTAACAAGTGATGAAAAATAACAAATTTAATAGTTGAAATTCAGTGTACAATATAAAGGAAATGTATTTTTGCTCCAGTATCAGCATTGTTGAAAAGTATTAATTAACCTATTTTGTAACAAAGGTATATCTACCTCTTTTTTCTTTTAAATGTTGAGTGCACTGCAACGAAAGTTATTTAAATATGCTAATACAGTAACAATTTTCTGTGGGATACCTGCCAATGTCTCCTGAGCCCATGAAAATAGGGACACTTGCTAGCGGATTAAATTAATGAAATTAAAACTAATTTAAGGTAAATTTACAGCGTATGAAGAAGGATTACTATTGGTGAAATAAAAGTTTGAGGAGATATGTAAAAAAGAAAAGCACTAACGGGGAAGTAAGAAGATGGTTTAAACAATCCTATATGTTAGAAGGAATCTTTTCATGTTACATGCAGATAAATTGCATCATTACATCTATTGTATATTATTTTAGTAATGGACAAGCTATTGTTCCACATGTTTATATTCTTGACT